CAATTTTCAGTGCGCTGAATAAACTTGGGGCCTTGTAGTCGGTGAACGGTAGCAACAAGGTCTTCAGGGTATGTTGGGCAGAAAGGCATCACAATTGTCTTGCTGACGTTTAGCTTCATCCGGTAGCTGAGCAATAAATCTTGAACACACTCCAGAGAAATTGCTGAGTTTTCCTGGGAGTGTAGCAGGCCCGTGACGTCGTCGGCAAATGCAATCGTAAGATGTCGTTCAGTCGGGTTGAGATGCCCAGGTGGGAGAGCTTGACTCGCAAATAAATCAGTAAAGGTTCAACAAATAGCACAAAAAGTGCTGGCGAGATCGGATCACCTTGGCGAACGCCACTGCCCAGCACAAAGGGATCCAGGGGTGAGGAGTTGAATAAAATCGTAACTTCCGTGTCGGCAAACAGTGTTTTCATCCATGCGCGGTAATTTGGCCCAAAGACAAAGTACTTGAGCATCCGTAGGAGAACTTGTCTTGAGACGGAATCGAATGCCTTGGCAAATCGCACATGATTACACCCGCGGTCTTGAAATTGTTGGTCTTGCACAACGGCTGAAGGTCGTGAAATCTTGTCAGGGCATGCTGAATGGAGCGGTCCGGCGTGGAACCATATTGGTCAGACCCTAATAAATAGGGCAAGACCAAATTGGGACGCTTGGCAAGGATTGCAGGAGCGAATTTAGCGGCCACATTGAGCAATGTCAATGGCCGGTAGTTCGAGTGCAAATCCTTGGAGCCCCCCTTGAAAAGAAATGAGAGGAAGGCTTTGTGCTGCAGGTCACTCATGCCCTTCCTTGAAAAGTTGAATTCGTGGACTTGAGCAAGGAAAGCATCCCACAGGTCGGAATTGACTCGGAAGTATTCTTATGGCAATCCATCGGGCCCTGGCGCTTTATTCTTGGGGCCTGAATGGATAGCGCTTGAAAATTCTTCAGGGGAAAGGAAGGTTTTAAGCGAAGCCTTCTGTTCTTTCGTAAGAGGTGCAATTGACAGTCCACGAGGGCATCGAGGGGCCAAGGCAAATTTCCGAAAATCAACAATACATTTGCACGGGAAAATAATAATGATCGAACTGACTGGACGACTGGACCTCTACGATTGCATTCAACTTGAAGTAGTGAATTACACAAGAAATTAAACACAAGAAGCCGCGATGCTATTCGTCATTCTCACTCACACCCATGTCGTCGCAGTCGCTTGAAGCCGAAACGTCATCTTCATCAGAAGTTTCGCTATCGAAGTCTGGAAAACAGCTTGCTTCCGCCAAAGTTTCTGCCTCTCGAAGAGGCTGCCCAGATCGTCGCCTTGAGATCAGTAGAAGATACACCAGGAACCTTGAACTTCACACAGGCTTGATAGAGATCGTCCTTCTTCTAGTTGCCCTTGGGAGTGTCAAACGGCCACCCCTTGTGATATTTGGCGTTGTCCATGACAAAGACAGCCGATGCCCATCCAAGGTACTCAACTTCATCGAGCAGCTTCTCAAACCAGTCGACAAAGTATGCATGGTTGAACATTGAATGGTAGTCTTTCACTGTCTTCCCGTTCTTCTTTCCACCAACTAAAGTGTCCAGGCCCAAGAGATGTGACACATCCGATCCATCATCAATAATTCCAGCGATAAAGCAATATCGACGTCCTTTGTGTTTTGACCTCGTTGTGCTGTGCTCGGGGTCGTACAGACTGTCCTCATGACGAGTGTAGTGATGAATGAAACTTTCATCGAGGTAAACCACGGGCCGTCGAGGACGCATTACCATTGTTGGCACCATCATGCTGACGTAAGCATCTCGTGCCATCTCATGCGCCTTGGTCATCCTGAACTCAGTTCTCCACGCGCGCTTCCCACGAGCGTACCTCTCATTCGACAAGAAGACTTGGACAGCACGAAGACAAGCAGAGTAGTCATTTGGCCGGGTGGCATCCACGAAGACGACATTGTGGGCAATGAGGAGCGCCAAGACGTCCCGGGCGACAGTCCTGGTACGGGTGGCACAGCGGTCTCGAATAAACGCCCTCACAAGAGTACGGACCGAGGCTGACGTAGGAACGCGCGACGGATGGTACTTCGTGTTCGAAGATGGGTCGGCCTCGTACAAACTGCCCTTGCCGAGATACTCGCAAAGGACTCCCTTAACGGTTTTGTTGGAGCGTCCAAGTAAGCGAGAGATGGTACCAGTAACGTCGCTTCTCCGCTCTTCACGGAGTGTGGCTTGAAGCGATAGTATGTCCATCTTCTCATCAATACAGTGATGGACGGTAAAAGTCGACGAAAGTAGCACAACCGTTTATAAAGGACTTTGTATTGAAAGTGGTACTTCACGTACACAGCGTCGATGCCAAAATATAAAAGACACGCCTCGACGAATCTAAGAACCTGCGCTCTAATTGGTTCAAATTGCATCCATTTTCACTGTTATCCCACCAATCCCAACAAAGAAAACGGCAACATGGGACAGGACGTTCAA